TAAATAATATATAAAGATGTTAAAAAAGAAAATTGCATGTATTTATCTATCAATGTAATCTTTTTTAATGTTAAACAGAAAACATATTTGTTTGTAAACGCCAGGGACACCTTAACTATTTATGGAAATAAAAACATAAAAAGAACACTAAATAATTAATATTTTTTGAAATTTTTTGGTCTTTAGATAGATAATTAAATCATTTTTCATGAAAAAGCTTGCCACTTGTATTTACTATCAGCACGAAGATTGTAAAATAACTCTGAGATACTATTAGCCGTTGACAGACATTCGTCAGGATACTCGAATGATTACATCAATATGAATCTAAGAAGAAAATAATTATGTTTCGTAGACTCTAGAATAGTTTAATTGTTTTACACTTCTTACCGGGTTGAAAAGTCTGTTGCAAAAGTAAACTGGTCACAATTGGCAAGCAAGTTTCATTAAATAACAGCGCCATCTGTTAGACAAAGGAAAATCTGTCGTAAGGATTACACTGATTTCTCTTAATGTTTATGGATTAAGTTGATCTTCCCTCGTTCTTCTTCTGAAAATTTTTAAATCGAATATTAATTCAAAGAAGTAATTATCAATACTATAAAAGATAGATGTTAAGATGCAAAATATGTCATCACTCATCAAATTAAACTATCAAGTTTCGACATGTTCTCAGCTGTATAAAAGTTTTGTAAGATATTACATTAGAGGTAAACCTCCCGGTATTGCAAAAACTCTGAGTCAGCGTCTTGCAAGTGAGTAATTAAATAAATGCCAATTAATCACGATTAACCATTGATGCGTAAAATTCTTTTAATATAGTGGAAAATCGAGAGGATCCTGAATTAAGCACAAGAATTGATATTGGATTTCCAGCACCAAGACCATCCCGATCAACCGAATTGAAACAACGTCTTGAGCATCTAAAAAAGCATCGAAATGATAGTAATCTTGAAAAACTTGCACGTAACAACACATGTAAGTGATAAAGTAATGTCTTGTTTGTAAATTTATATATTTATAAAGTATTTTTCCTTTTTTATCAGTGAACATTGATTTAGATGAGGTAAAGAAAGATTGGTTGGCAACAGCTGGTCCTCTGCATATAAGAAAAATTGCAGAACGTTACGACATTTATGGATTATTTGGAAAGTACGCCTACTTCACACCAAGACTGGCTTTGGATATTAAAGTGTGTAAAAATATTTTTAATTACGTTAAACTGCTTTCATTGCTGGAAATTGCTTTTTAGTTCAAACAGTCAGACGACACATATTTTCCTGTCTACTATGGTAATCGTTTAAAGCCTAGCGATGCAGTAAATCCACCGACAGTAAACTTTAATCATGAATTCAATGTTCATGGACTCGATTCAAAAGGAAAGTCATTTTTCACTTTAGTTCTTACAAATCCTGATGGACATTTCACTCAGGAAAACAAAGAATATATTCACTGGATGGTGTAAGAAAAAAATCAATTCTTTTTCAATAAAGTATTCACCTTTAATACTGTTATCATTTTCAGAGGCAATATTAGAGATGGCGATTTATTGAAAGGTGACACAGTCGTTCCTTTCCTACAACCATTTCCAGCTCAAGGGACTGGATATCAACGATACATTTTTATCATGTACAAACATGATAAAGAGCTAAATTTTGAAGAAGAAAAAGTCAAGGAATCCAATAACTTAGAAATGCGAACATTCAGTACTTATGACTTTTATCGGAAGTATCAAGATGAAATGACACCCGCTGGTTTGTCGTTCTTCCAAGCTGACTGGGATGATTCATTAACAGATTTCTACCATAATGTTCTCAGTAAGTGTTCCAAACGTTTTTCTTTTATGTTTACTTATTTTTTATGTGATTTCAGATATGAAGGAACCTGTCTACGACTACGATTATCCTGAAGCTATTCTTAAAAAAGAAAAAGCTTTTCCCCTTAGACAGCCTTTTAATCTGTACTTGGATAGATACAACGATCCAAAAGAAGTAAATAAAAGATTCCTTGAAGAAGAATTAGCTAAAACACATCCATTTGATGGCCCTGAACCACCATTTCGCTTCCCAAATGCACAATACTTAGCTGCCAATATACCAAGCTGGCGAAAAACTGAAATCAGAAAAGCTCGTCAAAAGCTAGGCAGAATCAACGAAATTAAGAAAATTTAAAACAAAAATTCTTTCATTTTTAGATGATAAATAAAATTTACTAGAAAATTATTTGTTGTTTAAATATTTTAGATGTCTAATCAAGTTTAATCATGAATTTAGCATGTTTTACTTAATAGCTCAATAATAGTCAAACTAGATTAATTTATTTTTCTTAATTAGTTTTTATTCGTTCATTTGTCAGGCAGATTGTACATAAACCATATCGAAATTTCTATTGTAGAGTATTATTGTGCTGCGAATTCCTTGGTTGAACATTTTTTGGTGACTTTCTTTAACATTGAATTAACAGCTCAGTTCGTTCTAAATCTAAATTAGTTTCTTGTCTCATGAAAATAAAATGTTAATTTTGAATTATGTTGCCATGTTTGCAAACGAGGAATAAATTTTGTGAAGAAAAGTTTGAGTGTCAGTGGAAATGAGAAAATTATTTTTCCTTAAATTTCGCTGCAAAACGAAAAATAATTTTGTCATTATTCTGTCAGAACAAACAATTCTGCTTTTAAAATGAATTGTTTTATGAAATATTATATTCTTTTTAGTTAAACCTTAACATCTAAATACAAGTCCTCCGTTTGGTCGTTTCAGTGATTATTTTTAATAATTAATTCATATTTACATGCCTTGAAAATGAAGAAATGAATTTTCTTTAAATATTTTCGATTCTGCTTGGAATGCATGAAGAATAAAATGCTTAATTTTTTCGAGTGAATTAAATTACCAATTTGTTTAATGGTAATTCACAGTGCATAATTCATGTTTTTTCAGGCATTTCATCTTTAATTATTCACAAATCTGAACCGTCGATCGTTAGAACATATTTTGGATAGCGGCAGGTTATATTTAAAAAATCTGATTTTTCTTTAATTATTAGATGCTTCTCTTTCATCATTTATTTCAATTCTTATGCATTTATATGATTTAGCTATCACAAGCATAAGAATAATTTTGCCGATGCTAATTCTATCCTTCACAATCTTTTCTTCCACCTTTTAATTATTTATTTTGAAGATGAAACGAAGTAATGTCATTTGTCAAATAAATAATTTTTCGATCAGTATTTTTTTCTTGCATGAGCTTAAAATTGACAAAAAAAACTTAAACACGTAATACACGACTAGTTTCGACCAAATGAAGGAGTTGCTTACAATTTTTTTAAACTTTTTCAGAAATGTCTGAGGATGTGTACGAAACATCATCAAATCAGACAAAATTGAAAAAAAATTATTAATTAAATTTTTACATTTTTTTTTAGTTTTTTCTTTTTTTAATTTCATTCATTTTTACACCTTCTGTGTAAATAAAGCTGGTAATTTCTTTTTTCTTTACGATCTCAACTTAAGATAAGTAATCGGGTGATGGTTCTGGCACAGCATCTGGGTTGGTGAAGAGAGGATTGGGGAATTCAGGTGGATGTGGCAAAGGACCTGTTGTTTTTGGTCTTCTTCTATAGGCCATCAACCAACAAGAGACTGCAATTGCTACAGCTACAAGTGCAAGTAAGGCAGTTATGATTAATGCAATAATCAATCCTATCATTGACACGCAAATGTCTTCAACTCGCTGTGCCGCAGGTTTCACTGTTAAAAAAATTAATTACAAATAAATCATTGTAAAAAAAGTTAAGAATCAGAAATATAAACAAAATTCTCACAATTATCTGAGTTGCTGTAGCGACCATCTCGCCTTTCAAATGTTAAAATAGCATTTGATGAGATTGTTATTTCTTCTCTCAGACTTCCTTCTAAACCTAAATCATCATTTGTTGATCGAGTAGCAATTGTATTGTTCTGTGGTTGTGATTCATCAGTAATTTCACGACGACGACGTCTTCCAAATGCATTATAACCACGACAATTCACTGGTTGACATTTGCCGAAGCAAACTCTAATATTACATTGGAATCTGATGTTATCACTCGATGGGAACTTGAAAGCATTGAAATTAGCCATCAAAGTATTACTGTCTGGATTGTAATCCCATTCTCCAAAAATGCTTGGATCTGTTGCGCAACCGTTTTCGTCTGTGACAATATATTCATTTTCGACATTCTCTTCCATTGTTTTAGCAACGCATGATCGTGCAAAACCGCCATAAATTGCTAAATTGAATTGAAATTAAACAAATTATATTTAATTTAATAAATCAAAGATAAAAAACTTCTTACTTGATGGTTGAACTTCAACTTGAAGCATCAAATTGTCACCAATTTCAGCTGAATTTATTTCATCACCATTATTTCGGACAATCTTCATAGAGCATTGTGGTGGAGGTCCAGTATTAGCGATTGTTCCAGCTGTTGTTAACATTTGAACATTGAAACCTAACGTGACATTCTGTTCACCAGTTTGATACACACATCGGATCTGATAAGCTTGAGCTTTGTAAGTCACAAGTTTAGGATGTTTTTGTATGACAAGAACAAAACTAGCTAAACCATTAACATGGAATAGTCCACAGCTGCCAAAGTGTACTTTAAAGATTTCTGTTCGTGGAGACGTATCGCCAGATAGATTGATAACACGACGACATTCTTCATCCTTACTGTGACCCTTAACATAAAGTACTCCATTGAAACCAGTCTCTGCAAGATGAATTTCAACTTGAACTCCATCTGCTAGACAGCTGACAGCCATTTCCGGTCTAGGGAAATCGGTTCTTAATTTGTTAGTTTGATCTAAATAGGAAAAAAAATTAAAAAAGTTGAATAAAGAAATGTTTTAGACAATTAAGTTGACTAATGAAAACTTACTGCAATATTTATATGGATCTCCTGTGTAACCAGTTATACATTGACAAATAGCAACGTGATTTGTGGCATTACAGAATGCATTAGTTCCACAGAGATTTTCTTCACATGGGTCTTCACACGTCTTTGTTCCAATGTTACAATATCGGTAATCGGGACACTCATCATTTGTTTCACATTCAGGTTTTTCAATTCGAATACAATCACCACGTGATGTTAATTTATATCCATGTTCTTCTGGACAAATGCAACTTCCACGTTCATCAATAATAAGTCCACGTTCAAGGGCGCATACGCAATGACCAGATTCGTCAATTTTGTATCCTTTGTGTATCTCACAAACAATACATTCTTCGTAAATGTTCAAAGCAGTACCAGGTGGACATACACATCTTCCAAAGTCATCAACAATCTTATCTGGTGGACATAATGCACGTTTATCACATTGAATTGCTGCATTTCCTTGATATCCAGGTAAGCATGCACAAGTCATTGTACGAACTGGCGAAGTGTCAAGAATCTTACAAATTGTGTTCACACCGCAAGGTTCTGTTACATTACATGGATTTAAGCATTCACCACCGATGCATGCAGTTTGTTTCTCACAATCATCATCCTTGCGACATGGTTCATCATATAAAACGCAACCTTTCTCAACATCAAAAACGAAACCTGGCAAGCACGAACATTCGGGCAAATGATTGTGAACAGTACAGATTTCATTGATGTCACATTTAGCGATCTTATCACATGGGATGTCACATTTGAAATCGATACAGGCCTTGTTCTGTGGACACTCAGAATCTTTTGTACATTCCAATAAAACACATCCAACCTTTGGATCACCACTATAACCTGGTGGACAATCGCAATATGGATGATGATTTCTGGCAATACATTCAGCGAGATTTCCACATGTGTCAGCACTACATGCTGGTACACATCGTCTGTTGATACATGTATCTTGTCCTGAACATTCGTCATTCGAAGAACATCCAATTTTCACGCATCCGATCTCAGGATTTCCTTCAAAACCTTGTTCACAAGAACAGACTGGTTTATGTTCTTTAATGCGACATTCAGCATTTTGGCCACATTTGCAAGGATCGCGGCAAATGTTGTTGATGCAAGATTTCTCTGGTGGACAATATGAATCAGCAACACATCCAACAACACGAACTGATTCAATTGGTTTGCATGTTCCACTGCCACTGCTGATGTAACCTTCCGGACATATACAAATTAAAGTTCGAAGAGGTGAAGATGGAGTTACTTGACATGTGGCTGGCATTGTGCAAGGAGAGAATTCAACACAAGGATTTTTACACTTATTGTTGATACAAGCAAGAGTTGATGAACAATCAGTGTCATAAACACATTCATGTCTAATTTCAGGCTTACAGTCAACGTAAGGATTTCCAACAAAGTTCGGTGGACATCTGCAAATTGCTAAATGATTTTGTGGTAGACAATCAGCACGTGGTGAACAAGGATTGTCGTATACACAAGGATTGATGCATTGTTCATTAACGCAACTCTTATCCAATGGACATTCGTTGTTACTTTGACATCCAATAATTCTACAAGCTTCTCTAGGATTTCCACGATATCCACTTAAGCATCGACATTCAGCTTGATAATTACGAACATAACATTCAGCATTCACTCCACAAGGATCATCCAATAAGCATGGATTTACGCAATTTGCGTTGATGCAGGCCTTTTGTGAGTCACATTCAGAATTGCTGCGACAACCGACTGTTCGACATGCAATGTCTGGATTTCCTTCATATCCTTCAGTGCAAGAACAAATTGCACGATGACTTTTAACCACACATTCAGCATTTGTTCCACAATTACATGGATTCCTGCATTGTCCATTGATGCATGCTGTTGTGTCAGAACATTCATAATCAGCGCTGCATCCAGATTTCGGAGGTGGTGGAATCTTTCGACATTCTCCAGTTATATCAAGTGCCCAAAGATCGGGACATGAACAAATTATTGTCCGAATGGGGAATGAGTCGTAAACATCGCATTTGGCAGAACGTGCGCATGGTGACAATTCAATGCATGGATTTTTGCAAACATTGTCGATGCAAACCAATTTAGTGGGACATTCACTATCAACACGACATTCTGGTTTCTCATCTCTTGTTCGCATTTCGCAATATGAATATGGATTTCCGAGTGGCATAGATTCGGGACATCTGCATTTAGCATTGTGATTTGAAACAAAGCAAATTGCATTGCTTGCACAAGGATTTCTCTCTATGCAAAGATCAACACAACGTTTGTTCTCGCATGCTCGATTTTGTGGACATTCGTAATCAGAATAACATTCAGCTCTTTCACATCTCTCCATAGGATTGCCTTCAAGTCCTGGTGGGCATTTGCATGCTGCTCTATGATTGCTTCCATAGCAAATTGCTGAAATTGCACATGGATTTGTTAATGAACATGGATCTAGACATTGACCTTCGTAACATGTTTTATCATTCGAACATTCGATATCACTTGTACATCCTAATTTATAACATCCATATTGTGGATTTCCTGAATAGCCATATCTACATGTGCAAACCGGATAGTGATTAGTTACAAAGCATTCTGCGTTTTCACCACAATTACATGGGCTACCACAACGTCCGTTGATACATGACTCAGATGTTGAACACTCCGAATTTGATCTACAGCCAACTTTAGGCTCTTCAACAGCAGTGCATGCAATATCGGGGTTTCCATTATAACCAGGTGGACATCTGCAAATGCTGCGATGATTTTCAGCATGACAGAATGCTCCTTCGCCACAAGATTCTCTGAGAGAACATGGATTAATGCATTTTTCATTATGACATGTTCGATCAAGTGGACAATCGTCATTGGTGTAACATTGTGGAGTTGGAACTTTGTCACGTGGTGTCAGCAGACATTCAATATGAGCATTTCCTTGATATTCTGGTGCACATGTACATATTGCACGATGATTTTGTGAAAGACATTGAGCGTTGATTCCGCAAGGTTCAGCACGACATGCAAGAATGCATGTACCTCGAACACATTGATCTGTTAACGGACAATCAGTGTGGCTTATACAAGCAGGTTGATCACGAACTATGAGTTTGCAATTTCCATTTGCATCGGTTACCATATCTGTTGGACATTTACATATAACTGTTCTTAATGGATGTGTGTCAAGAACAGAACAAGATTGATCTCTCGTACAAATGTTGGATAAAGCACAGAGATTACCACAATGCTGATTAATACATGCCAATTGTGATGGACATTCGGAATCAACTGTACAATCTGGTTTTGGTGCTGTTTTTTCTTGTAAACATTCAACAAATGGATTTCCGGTGGATCCCTCTTGACAATAACAGGAAGGTTGATGATTCATGCCTTTGCAATAAGCATTTGTTCCACATGATTGTTCATCACAAACTGGGCGACATACTCGATTCAAACGATCACAAGCCTCATGATCAGCGCAATCTTCATTATATTGACAAAGTCCACTGATACAAGAAATCAAAGGATTGCCTTGAGTGCCAGCAGGGCAAATACAATTTGCACGATGTTGCTGCGCATGGCATTCTGCTCCTTTTCCACATTTGTTATATCCACATGGATTAAGACATTTTTCGTTGTTACATGCTTTATCATATGGACATTCATCATCGGTACGGCATTCAGCTATAAATGATAATTTTTTTTTTATATAAACTTGTTGCAATATAAGCTAGTTAGACAATAAGAAATCGCCTCGAAATTGTAGCTAATATAGCATAAAACTTTAAAGAGAAATACTTTAGACTCTACTTCTCTAAAAAGTCTTAAGCTATAAATAATAAAAATTAGGAAAAAAAAAATTAATTTCGAAACTAGTGAAGTTCTCTATCAGTAACGATTTCGAGGTATTCCTTATTGGCTAACTACCATATTATTTTGCTTTCTTACGTTTATAACATATTTCTTTAGGATCTCCGCCCCATCCTGGTGGACAGTAGCATAATGGACGATGATATGACACACGGCATTCAGCGTTGTTAGCACATGGGTTGCTCTCAGCACATGGATTTTGACATCTTTTATTATTGCAAGATTTATCTACAGGGCACTGTGAATCATGAGTACATTCTACTTTGGAAGTTGGTTCTTGGAAGCAGTTGATAAATGGATCTCCAATAAGACCTTGAGGACAAGAGCACATAGCTCTATGATTTTGAGCTGAACATTGCGCTGTTCTTGCACAAGGATTTCCTTCTATACATGGGTTGACACAAACTCGATTTCGGCAAGTTTCAGTTAGCTGACAATCATTGTCGGATTTACATCCCGATTCGTCTTTGAGTGCTTTTTATGAAATTATATAAATATGATATTAGATACCTCATGAATTGATATTTGATAACCATAGCTAAGGAACAATTTTCTATGCAACTTTAATATCAAATAATGAACACAGAAGAAAAATATTTATATTTATGACATGACTTATGTATGTACAAACTGATAAGTATCTAATGAATATGTACAAATAAAAAGTTTTGTAAAATTTGTAATAAAGATTAAGAAAATAAAATTTGCTGTAAATTTGATTGAAAATTGAAGTTCTTTAAAAAGAAGAATAAAATATATGTCAGTCTTACCAAGTTTACATTCTTTGTTTGCATCAGCTACGTAACCTTCAATGCAGGTACACACAACCGTACGTCTCGGAAGTGAACTCACAACACTGCAAATTGTATTTGCACCACATGGTTTTCCCTCGTAACATGGATTTTTACAATCTCCATTGAAACATCCAAGCTTGCTAGGACAATCCACATCCATTCTACATCTAGGTTCTTCCTTAAGTGGAATCTTCTCACATGACAATGATGGATTTCCGATATATCCCGGAGGGCATCGACAAGTTGGAATGTGATTATTCACTTGACATTGAGCTGATGGAGCACAGTTACAAGGATCAACACACTTTTCATTCCTGCATGCCAAATAATAGGGGCAGTTTTCATCTCTCGTACATTCAGGTTGATTGCAAGAAATTAATGGATTTCCACGATATCCTTCTATACAATGGCATCGTCCTCTATGATTGTAATCAGTTTTACAGTAAGCATTTTGACCGCATTGAATAGAACGGCAAACATCTACACATTCCTTGTTGATACATGCTTCAGATGGATCACAATCATTATTTGATCGGCATCCAAGTTCATAACAAGAATATTGTGCATTTCCTGTATATCCAAGAAGACATGCGCATGTTGGTCGATGCATTCTAGCGTGACATTCTGCGTTCCTTCCACAAATTCCTGGTGAACATGGAGTAATACATTTTTTATCAATACAAGCTTTATCATTAGAGCATTCTTCATCCATTGTACATTCGGGACGAGGAAGTGGCTCGTCTTGAATTCTAGAACATTGTAAGAATGGTGACCCTATAAAATTCCTTGGACACGAGCATACAGCTTTATGATTGATAACATTACATAAAGCATTTATACCACAAGACCCGATGCAAGGATCTCCACATTTTTGATTGAAGCATGCTTTGCTCGGAGAACAATCTTCATTTTGAACACATTCAGGATATCGACACGATGCAATTCCATTGACAACCTGACAAATTCCATTTCTTTCGCAAGGTGATGGATAACATGGATTTTTCTTCTCGGGGACAGAACGGCATTCAACGAAAGCATCTCCTATCATTTTTTCAGGGCAAGAGCAGACTGGAACGTGATTGATTGTGGAACATAAGGCGTTATATCCGCATATGTGTTGTTGACAAGGATCCACACATTTGTAATTCGAGCATGATTTTGTTAAAGGACAGTCAGAATTTATTGTACAATCTGGATAACACCCACGGTCGTAAGGATTTCCTTTATATCCTGGAATGCATTCACAAATTGCTGAACTACCTGACCTTCTACATATTGCTCCAGTTTTACATGGTGATGGGTAACAAGGATCGCTTTCAACCGGTTTTTCATATTTAGGTACTATCTGGCAATATTGGAATGCATCTCCGGCAGTTCCTTCAGGACAGGAACATGTTGGTATATGATTCAAAACATTGCAAATAGCTTCAAATCCACAAATTCCAATGCAAGGGTCTTTGCATTTATTGTTAATACATGCTAGGTTACTAAGGCATTCGCTGTTGCTTACACATTCTGGTCGACAGCCTGTAATAGGATTTCCATGATACTCATTTATGCATTCACAAATGGCTTGATTTCCTGAAATACGGCAAAGAGCATTTGAACCACATGGTGATGGATAACATGGATCTTTTGGAGCATCTGGTGTTTTTGCTATTTTCAAAAGTATAAAGAATAAACACATAAATAAATTATTAGATTCGTTAGAAAATCAGTAATAAATTGTAGGATTTGCTTCAAATTTATTGCTTCGCTCTTACGTTGTTCCATGAGATAACATCTATTGAATGGATTTCCGGTAAAACCATTAGGACATTCACAATAAACGATATGGTTTCTAACACTGCATATAGCGTTACTTGAACAAGAACTTGGGCAGGGATTTGAACATTTTTGGTTGATACATGTAAGATCTCTCGAACATTCTGAATCCATAGTACATTCGGGACGGCAATTTGGAGGAGTTCCTATCATGTTAACCAAGCAAGAGCAGACAGCTTGATCGTTTAAAGTATTACATATTGAGTAAGCACCACAAGGTGACGGCACACATGGATTTCTATGACTAACTGATGTTTCAGTTACTATAAAAGACAGCAATAATAAAACTCTGTAATAATTCAAAGTTACTAAATCTTAAAAATTACCAGGTACAACACACCCATAATGGGGATTTCCTGTATATTGAGGCAAGCATGAACATACAGGACTATGCGTCACGACTCGGCAAAGCGCGTTAAATCCACAAAAACCAGGACATGGATCTATACATTTTTCATTTCTACATGCTTTATTTTGAGGACAGTCACTATTCGTAACACATTCAGGTCTGCATGAAGGAGGAGAACCTATGTATCC